GTAGGGAATAAGAAGAATGTATTTGAGGAACTCACTAGCTGAAAATAAAAGGGGTAGCGATAGGTAATCACAGATGAGTAGAAATTGCAATTGTATTGGAATAATGAAAAATAATTCCTGGAATGTGTGAGATATCTCTGACAGACTGGGGAAGAACAGAGACTGCATCTGAAGTGCTACATACAGTGTGGTTACGTGTTCAAGAAAGGTGGAGTTTGATTTGAACAGGTAAGGCAACTGCTAAGATTATCATGCTAATAAAGTTTCTCTGAATGGAGAAAAGGTCACACTACAACGTTTTTTGCTCTGCCTCCCTGTGATCTGAGCAGATCACAAGCTTGCAGATCAAGCCCTGGTACATCTGGAAGCTATGTAACCATGGGCTTAGGAGAACTTGTTTCTTTGGACACAAAACTGTGCTTACTTGTTTATGCTCCTTCAAGTTGGATTAAATATCAGGTAGTGGAAACAGAATCACAGAATCATTCTGGTTGGAAGAGACCTTTAAGATTAAGTCCAGCCATTAACCCAGCACTGCCAGGTCACCACTAAACTATGTCCATCAGCAACACATCTACCTGTCTTTAGATACCTGCAGGGATGGTGATGCTACCACTTGCCCAGGCAGGCAGGCTTTTCCAGTGCTTGATAACCCTTTTGGTGAAGAAATTTTTCCTAATGTCCAACCTAAACCTCTCCTAGAGCAACCTGAGGCCATTTCCTCTTGTCCTACCACTTGTCACACGGGAGAACAGACTGACCCCCACGTCACTACAACCTCCTTTCAGGTAGTTGTAAAAGATGTCTGCAAGAGATTAAATATATCCTCAAAAGTATTCACGTAGTTAGTCTAGAAAAGTGAATATTGAGAGAGGAGATAAATGTTCTTTTCAAATACCTTCAAGTTAAGGTGTTTAATCATTAAAGGACTCCTTAAGGTTTCTCCCAAGGTGGAAAATTTTAAGCCATCAGGAGAATGAGACTTTAGAATAAAAATATTGTAAGAAGTGGTGAAGACAAAAAAAATAAAAATTAACATATAAAATAACCATGAAATGATAGAGCATGGTGAAAAGAATTCTATGAAGTGATCATTTTAACTGAAGTCCCTGTATTCAGTCAGTCTGTTCTCTTGTTTTTTCTTACTCTGTTGTAGGTACGTAGGCATGGAAGGAATCTATGAGGTCAATGGTGAAGTAGTCACAACTCCAGCAAAATTGTATGCCAGTGAATGAAACTTATGAGCTCCTTAAATACCCCAGCACTGATGTGGTTGTGAAGATGGAGAGTAGCGTGCCTGGCAGCTGTGAGTATATGAGAAGTAGGCACTGGGGCTGTGTTTGGAGCCAGAAACAGAAGAATTGTGCTGCCATGCACAGGACTGGGGAAGGGGAGTATGAGAGCCATGTGAGAGGAGGCTTTGGGGCTGTACCAAGTAGCTAATCTGCAGAAGCACACATGAGATCACAGCTACAGAACTGGAGGGGTGAGTTGTGGACTGTATTTAGGATGGAGCAGGACAAGAGAAACGGGTTCAGGTAAGAGCAATTTGGGTACCAGATGTGTGTTCTACTTGCACCATATACCAAAAAAAAAAAAGGCTACTGCTACTGGTTTTGATCACTGAAGTATTTCCTTTTTATGTTACGTTGTCACACAATGTTCATAACTTTAAAAAATTGTATAATTACTAAAGGTTTCCACCTTTGGTAATGCCAAAAGTCCCCTGCGCATGCCCAGAGAAAGACTTTGAAGGGATATAACAAATCGCTACTTTTCAGTGTTCCAGAACAATGTTAGTTTGCACTGGCAGGCTCCCATGGGGGCAGATGAATTTTGAAGGGTTTTCTCCCCCTGAACTGTCAATAGAGGATTTATAGGGTCATGTGAAAAGCAGATGCTCAGATGATTTAAAATGCTACCAAGTTATAGTCACAGCACTGTACAGCTATTTAGGACAGCTGGAAATAAATCAGCCAAGACAGTCACTGTGGAGGACAAGTCCAACCAGTCATACACGTTGGACCCTTCTGATCTTTGCAAGGTGAACATCTGTGTCGTGGGATGTCTATACTGAAGCAAGGTGAACTATAGTTCACTTCATTGTGTGTTGGAAAATATTAGGGAAGAGGTCCAAAGTTGCTGGGTATTTCTTATTGGTACCTAGATTTTCATCTAAATTTCACAGCAGCAGTAGTAAATAATGCATTTAGATTGAACCTGTGAGTAGTAACTATTTTAATACCCTGTCATTGAAAAAATACATTTTTATATATGCACAAAAAAATATTTTATCCTCTGTGA